TGAGTTGGAATTATCCTATGAATTGTCACAGAGAACAGACATCCAAGCTTAAACATTTTTTTTCGAAAAATTATGTGTAAGAATTCTAATTAAAATACGTTAGAAACACTAGCGCCGCCATACGGAATGTTGCGACTCGAGTTATCACTTTTTGCGATTAATGAGAGATCTTGTTGACCGTGTATCCAAATGAACTGTCAAATCAGGTCAAAACAAACAAGACAAAACGGAATTCAATCGAGTTTCTGCGGAACCATTATTTTCGAATAAAAAACTAAGCTCTTTTACAGTTTCCTGTAGATCTAAAGCCGTTTTTCGTTCCAATTTTAACTGGGAATAGTAGTCAGGAGCAAAACTTACTTTTTTGGATTTCACCGTTCTTGCAGGAATTCGAAAAGCCTCCGGGGGGAAGCAGTCAGAACATAACTTTTTCTTTGCAACCGCTTGGACTCCACGTGAGAAAGAAATCTCCTGTAGTTCGGGCAATTCAGCATCCTTAGGAAAATTGTGAAAAGATTTTCGCTTGGTAACACCTTGTTTATTTGCGCACCGATAAAACTCGCACTTGCGGCCCATGTTTTGATCGGTTTTAAACAAACAATGTTTTGCTCACATTTGCTCATATTGATATTTATGTTAAGATGACGTCTGCCGGGCATGATAATGACATCGATGGGCAGCGACACTAGCGCCACCACGATATTGCTAGTTTCAAATGTGTATTCAAAACAGCAGTTAAATGTCTTACACACTTTAGGAATTTGACTTACCCTTGGAGTATTTTAAATAATTCCTTTCTAATTATTAGCAATTTTTCTGCAATAAATTTGGTTGGAGCTCTATGATGAATCTTTCGCACTAGGGTTGAAATTATCGCCAAAACACTCTTTGAACTCTGTGTCTTGTCTTGTCTTGTCTTGTCTCATCATAATTCTCTTGAAATTCTTCTTAAAATTCATCTGCCATTCTCCACACGATCCTCATCAAAAATCTAGAATCACATAGAAATTTTCCATACAGTTTTTTATTCACAACTCCTTGAAATATTTAAAAAATACCTAAGAATTTCATTTAAAACTTGCATTCTGCTCTACAGAAATCTCTTAAAATTCTTCTAACAATTTATAAGGACTTCATGTCCGAATAATTTTGGAATTTTGCTCAGAACTTCTCCTTCGAAAATTTAGTTTGAAATCAACACTTTGAATACTTTTAAATTTTTGTCCTCAAGATTCTATCGATTGTTCTGTATTTTGTTATAACCCTTAAAATGCTTCCAAGTCTCAGAGCCTTGACAATTACGTCTCCACGACTCATAAGTATATTTTTTTTCAAATTTGCGATCTTAAAAAATTTTTAAATCTAACATTTTAATTATTTTTTCTCTAAATATTGCCTCAAGAAGATTGTTATTAATCACAAATTTTGAAGAAAAGTTCTAGTTGTAGACTCTACACAAATTTCAAAGCCCCAAAACCTTGGTAATCTTCTTAAATCACTTTTTTATCCTTTCAGTAATATTTTTCAAGTATTGGTCTATTGGACGTGAGTATTAAATTTTATTGGAATGGCCAAAGATCGTGGGAATAAAAAACTTGTGTATCCTAAGATGTACAAAACTATAAGAGATTGAATGTTCTTTGTTACCGCGCTTATATTGAGGTTACTACCCAAGTAACATTGCAGGTTTTATCGCGGTTTTATTGCATTCTACAAGTCTAAATCATGGTCTACAGAACCCTCATAAAACCAACATTGTTACTTGGGTATGGTAACATGGAACAAATTCAAAATTATCATGGCATGCTGCGTTTACTCGTCGTCGTCTTCTCCTACAAATTTCATGAACCATGTTTAGTTTCACGTTGAGCGAATTCCAACGTCAGTAGATTTTACATATTTTTTTAGTGTTTAACTTACATCAGCACAAGTAATGAAAGGTTAATATTTATGTTAGTATAGACAACGGAGTGAAGACACATTTTCTTTATCCAATATTTCTATCAATTTCCTCTAATTCTCATTTGTATCAAGTTCATTTTGACGTTGGATAACGTCTTTCGGCAACATACGGGGGTACAAAATTGAAAACAGTCATTTTGGATGCGTTACGAAAAATTAAAAGATTTTGAACGATAATAACTCAACCGTCTCTCGATAGATTTACGAGATAATGGCATCAATCGATTGGAAATATTTCTAGCAATTTGCTGAATGTTTCAAAACTATTGATTTCATTATGTAAACTATTGAAAAATGGTTAAAAGTAAACCATTGTCTAAAGATGGTGAAAATCGATTGATTTTTTTATATTCTTATACTTTCTCCAACCGAGACATCAGATGCGAGTATCTGACACCTCTGATATTTTCTGTTCTACTATATAAGCGTCCAACAAGGTCGCCCGTTCCATCATTGTCTATCCGATCGTCGACCAAGCAGCAGAGCAGCAGAGCAGCAGTACCAGAGCAGCGGAAGCAGAGCAACGGCAGCAGAGCTTGGGGGCGAAAGGGCAACTACGCCGAGTGCGTTGGTGCCAGTGCTCCAGTATACTGGGCCGCCGTCATGGAATGCTCAGCTGCTGCAGTTCTCAGTCGGTCGTATTCACCGTCTGCTCCGCAAGGGCAACTACGCCGAGCACGTTGGAAAAATGGCCCTTTTCAGGGCCACAACATTATCAAGAAAGAGTTTAACGTACGTATCCGAGTATCTGACACCTCTGATATTTTCTGTTCTACTATATAAGCGTCCAACAAGGTCGCCCGTTCCATCATTGTCAACAACATCAGCCTAACAAAACGGCCCTTTTCAGGGCCACCAAACTTTCGCAAAAGAGTTATTAAGGAATATTCCTAAAATATAATATACACAATTAAGTACAACACATAACAGACGTTATCCAATGCCAACCCTGCGGTCGTATCTAGTATACAACCCTTCCAACTTTTTTATGAATTGATTTTTCAATGAGAGATCAATGATTTGTTTTGAATACATTAAGTGACATTCATAGAGTTGAATTTATACTTTCAGCTTTAAAAAATACTTTCTGTAATTTTGCTTTTATTTTTCCCTCAAATAACCCCCGAAAATTAACAGTTCGCCACGTTTTTAAAAATACGTACAATTTTGTTTTTGTAGAATATTACAAATAAGAAATTTTAAGATTTGAACCGGGAAAACCGGGAATTTCAAAATGAAAATTCACTGGCCACCCTGTACCGAGCACGTAATCCTACGTCAAATCTACGGCGTGTCTGAATACAACTTCTTACTGTTTCGCCGGCAGGAATGATATAGTATAGACAAGATATAGGGTAAATGGATGTAATGTCGGCCTAAATGCCCCTAATGTGGGTCCATACATAAATGCAGTAATCGACTAAATTTTCAATAGTGACCGAAAATATCCATTAGTACCGTCCCAATGACGCGTTCATCTAGATAAAATTGATAAATAACAGATTTTTAGCGTTGGCCCCTATCTTGGATCCATAGGCCATTAGATCCATTTCCAATGTGTTTTTTTTTTTTTTTTTTATGACAGTGCTTGAATGTATTTCTTTTTTTACTATAGTTGATGCAAAACAACAATAAAACAAGAAAGAGATTAATATGTAAACCAATGAAATAAAGCTTTAGACGGAATTCGAGTCAGGAACCCTTTCATCCAATGTGGGTCGGTATTAAAAGTTAATCCTAAGACCTAGAATCCTAAATCCAAAGCATCTATAATATAAATAAAAATAATAATCCGGGATGAAGCTTACAACCATTAGAGATCTTCTGATCACTGATCAAATCTTCATTCAAAGTACTCCGTAGGTTATCATACCTTGATGTTTAAGACTTAGTTTGGCATTAGTCATGCATTAAACTGTTCTGCTGTTCCTATTAAAAGATAATGAATAATCAATTTCCGTGATATCAACGGATCCTGAATCAGAATCATGCAATCACAATGACTACGCAAGTTATCTAAAATCTCTTGAATGTTCTGGAAAGTACTGCATCCCTACGATAACATTCCCATTTGTCTTTATATATATAATTAAAAATAATACGTAAATAGAATGCGATCACGGCAGAGATCTGATTCATGACCGACCCCCTCCAGTGAATCACCTCATATGGAGAGAGCATCAAACTTATTCAAACGGCGAATACGGCGAAATTTTCCGTCACGTTTCACTCCCCATGTTGGAATATGGTAACACTCTATACAATATAGGTAGTTAGCAGCCTGGCGTGCCGTCGAGGTTGCGATCGTGGCTCCGAGGTGCAACCATAAGAAAACGTAATCATTTTCCAAGCCCCGTAGCCACGAAGCACAAGAGAAACTTTTTCTGTTTCTGCTACATATTTCCTATACAATCGCTCTTGAATCGCTGGAAATATTACGGTACATGCCAGCCCGGTTGGCGAATAAGCTTCAGTATAAAACCATAATATTTATACTCTGCACAACTCACGCCGTACATAGACTGTTCGTTTGCCAAGAGAGTCTCTAATAAGTGGTATTCGCTCGCAAGTGATGGAGTAGACGCGCACACAACCATACAGGTATAAGCACTGCACGAGGAAAACCGTACACTGGTGGTTGGTAAGGAACCAGTGGGCTCAGCCAACCCAACACCACCCAACTAACTAGCTGAACCGATCCATCCAAATAGGCATAACCACCTAGTCAACCGACCATTAAGTCAGTCGAGGGAATTCGTAATAACTTACGTTGAAATGTTGGCACCTCGCGTCTCCATCCCTTCCCACCACCCCATCGAGCACAATAGACACTGGGTCACAATGAAACATCACTTTTTGTATCAGTGTGGGCTCGATAGAAAATTATTACCTTTTCCTCCTCACAGAAACATACTTCTTCAGTGGCATTGGCTCCAGAGCGCATAATGAATCAAAACACCTTCGCCCAATTTCCCGGAAATCCCTGACCCCGGAAAGAGAATACCTGGAAATCCAAGAACATCCAATTCAGCGCATACCTTGAAATACTTTGATGAGCTCTGACATATTCCAGCCGTTCAGCAAATTCTTGACGTAAGTATCCATTTTGAATTCGGTTTTCTGCCACCGCACCCGTTTCGTGGAATGAATCCAACTTCCGTCGCCAAGGGATGAAAATTTCCGTAATACCGCTCGTATTAGATACCGTATTCCACAGTCCAACCAGAGATACCAAAACAGAACTCACACAACAATCTCGCAAGACAGTCGTGTATACAGACACATACACATACGCGACGGCACACCGGGACCGAAGCAAAGGAACAGAAAAAAAAAACACACGAGCAAAATGTAATCACACTTCAGAGCTCTCCATCTGACGGACACGTTCAATAACTTACGGCAAGATCTCGATATACACTGAAGTAAGTGTTTGAATGCGTGAAAGCAAATCGAAAAGAGAGTGTGCTGCCCGAGAGAATCACTCTCAATTCGAAACCCGGAGACCCGCGGTTTGTTTATGCTGGTGTACTGCTCGTGCACAACCCGGAGCACACGTGTGCAACAAAGATAGCCAAACGCAGCGTGGACGCCGTCATAATCATTCTCTTGAACGAGAAAGAGAAAGAGAGCGAAAGACTCTGTATTCGCTCATTTTCGATTCGTGAGAAAACGGCACATAATCTAGCTGTTTGGTAATACTTGGAGTATGGACTACGGAGTGTAGAAATGGGTATAGGGGAAAAAAAAGTGTTCAATTTATTCCAATGGAAACAGAAGAACAACCGAAACGAAGCGAAGGGGAATGTGAATAATCTCGGATTACAGTTAGTATTTCCAGCAGTGGGTAATGCTGTCTGGCTTTACTTCACTTTGAACTCATTACGGACCGATTTTGCTCTGCCTGAATCGAGAAAAGACAGCTGTCGTCGATTAAACATGTTCGGAAAGTTTTTGAATATGCTTGTAATTTTCCATGACCTTAACAGCGTCGCATGGATTGGAATCTGCCGAAACGAAGCAAATTTATTACAGTTTTGTTTGATTGTTGGAAAGAGATAATTTCGTGCTGGGAATCATGAGAAATAATCTAACAATTCCGAGGCGAGGCAAGTCACTATTACACATGTTTGCAAAGAGAACGTTTTATATGGCAAAACCACGGGCATGGAACTGAAATTCTGATAAAGAATGAAGGAGGATGAAATACCAGTGATAAAGCAGTTGAGTGAAATGCTTCCGTTACGAAACATCAGTTCGTTATCAGAAGCGATTATGTTCTGTTCCTTTTTTTCTGGTAATTAAAGAGGAAATTTCTGTCAGTGTATGAGGTCCTGTGCCGTGGAAGGTCGGTCTGCTCAGAGACGATATTTGATAAGAGACACGCGGAGAGAATAAAAGGAAATCTGGTTGCACGCCCAACAAACTTATTTTGTCTGCAAAGTCTGGCAACTCGCAATTTTGTGTTTACTTTGAATGAGTTGTAATTTAATTTGATTATTTGAAAAATGCAATTGAAATAGGGGAAATGACGGCTTCGGCATGCCAGACTATTTTCGGCAACCCAAATTGAAAAACTATTTTCACTGGATTTTCTTACGAAAACACTTCGCTGAATGCATGCAAACGATTCTTTATGCTTTCAGCTTCAGTTTCACTATATTTTTACCACTGAGAAAAAGCAATCTAGCAAGGATTTCTTGAAATGAAACACACGCACTACAAATTGTAGCTGATTTCGAGTTGCCGATAATAGAACAGCATATTTACATGCAGTTCAAATGGAACGGTTGCCGAAGAAAAACTGGTTGCCGACAATACTCGCTCTCACTAGAGAAGATTGGAGCTTTGTAAAAGCGTTTCAAAACAGCTTTTGACAATTCTTTCGACTGAAATTGTTAGAGCAGCTGGCAGCAAAAGATTGTAAACAAACCAATACTGCATATGTGTGCGTTCCTTAGAGAAAAAGGCTATAGAAAGAAGGTCGCTGCTTAGGTTGCCGAGAATAGGTAAATTCCCCATACACCAAATAAAACGTTATAACGGCGCCGGTGGTGTAGTGGTAAGCGTGATTACCTCTCACCCCAGCAGGCCTGGGTTCAATACCAGTCGGCGCCGCCGGGATGTTCTGAGGCATAACATCTCTGATCACGCCTTCCTTCGGATGGAAAGTAAAGCCGTTGGTCCCCGGTTCATGAGTTGATGGGTCGATAGGTAGGGTCCAGGTGTGGGAGCTGCCTTCCTGGCACGTCGGTAGCATTGGTGCTCAGCACGGAAAACAAGATCGACGGAAAAAACAAACCAAAGGAAAAAAAAAATAAAACGTTACAAAATGTCAGTTTCTTCTGACAGCGTCGTCAGAGAAAAGTGGGTTCAATTATATCGGCTTCCTCCAGATCAAAGCGTGACGGAAAATAGGTAGCTACCATATTGATAACTGAATTGTCGTTTGGATGAAAGTCGATTTAACCTAATTTATTATATTTCATCTACGATTTCGATTTATAGGGGGCTTCGGATAGCTGAAAACTTTTAGCCGCTCCGGTTGCAATTCCTGTCTTTGAAATTGTTGCGGATTTAACCGAGGGAACAGATAACGAGATTTATGATGGTGTAAAAGATTTTACACCAAATTTTGAAATTATGTTCCAGCAAAACGAATTGCTGGGTTATGTCTAGCAAAATCAAGTTTTACTGGAAAATCAGTAATCTGAAATATTTTGCTGGATGTTCCAGTACATTGTATCAAATGTCAAATTCAGACCTGTCTTCGCAGTTTGGTTGGTAAATTACTGGTTCGTGGTTTAGAATATTTTGCAGTCTAAGAAGCTGGCAAATTATCATTAGGAGGACGAAAATTTTGCTGGAATGGTAGAGTAAGTATTCTATTAAGCTTTCCATGCTCGGTAATGGCGGCCGGTTTGTATGAATAAATGTATCCTTCACTGTGCTTTTTGACACTAACTGGAGGGCGTATGATGTTCCATTTTCTTCTGTTCCTGGGAGAGGGAAAGCGATCCCCGATCAGAAAGGCATAACAAAATTATAACAACTGGAGTTATTTATTTAACAACAATGTTATAAACATTGGCTGGTTAGTTGTTAAAATAACAAAAATCATAACAAAAATTCGTCTAGTGGTAACAAAATTATAACAGATATGATTGTGTGTGTGTGTGTGTGTGTGTGTGTGTGTGTGTGTGTGTGTGTGTGTGTGTGTGTGTGTGTGTGTGTGTGTATGTGTGTGTGTGTGTGTGTGTGTGTGTGTGTGTGTGTCTGTGTGTGTGTGTGTGTATGTGTGTGTGTGTGTGTGTGTGTGTGTGTGAGTGTGTGTGTGTGTGTGTGTGTGTGTGTGTGTGTGTGTGTGTGTGTATGTGCGTGTGTGTTTGTGTGTGTGCGTGTGTGTGTGTGTGTGTGTGTGTGTGTGTGTGTGTGTGTGTGTGTGTGTGTGTGTGTGTGTGTGTGTGTGTGTGTGTGTGTGTGTGTGTATTCCATCTAACCCCCACTGGGCGGCAGTGTTATTATGGAAGAACTCTCTCTACAATGTCGCATTTGTGGTCATTGTAGACAGCTTTAGTCCGGGAGTTAGAAGGTGATAGCTCTATTGCAGATCCAGCAACCCATTTCAGAATGTCTGGAGAGTCACGCCCATTCCGAGGTTACTTTCACTCACAATAAGCCCCGCATGTATGCATCACCGTTATCAAATGGATATTGGTGATACATACACACTTCCAGGTTCGAAAATATTCTTTTCAACCCTGGCATGTATTTAGTGTAATTTTGATATTTATTTATTTATTTTTTTTTTTAAATAAATGGAAAGCTCTCACCATATTCTGCTCTTCCGCCGTCGTTATTTGCTTCTTTTGGAATCCCTTGGACTTTTTCTCTAACGCTTCGTATTTCATTCCGTGCTTCACCGGCAATTTCCTTCCGTAGACCGTCCTTGGTTGGTTGGTTCTAATATGATTCCGCCTTTTTTGGTCCGTTTGAATTGCCATGGTGATCTGGGACGAGGCTCACGTCCAAATTCACTGGTCCATCGAGCGCTCCGTTTGCGAAAGGAGAATGAAAGAAATACGAAAGGGATCAGTTTCAAGAAGTGACAGTATCATCAGATTCCCCAACTAACCATACTCAAGCAAAGTAAGAATATACAAGCTATATTGCGACTATATGGTTACTTGGGTACTCGTATGGCCGTCAGAATGGTTCATCGGTTGCGAAGTGAAGTATTTCTGAAAGTGATGTGTAATATTTCTCAATGTTTTGAATTTATCCTAACGTTACCTAACGTTACAATGTTATATCACAGACAAGCAGACACAACACATTGAACATTTATAATTGTAAACCCTACCGCCATCTGTCGTATATACTTTGATGGGCAATACACTCAACAGATGGTTGTAGCATAGAGGTAACTCTAAGACCACTGGATCCCGAAGAAAATCATTATTATTTTTGGATCACTCAGTACCAGAACAACGGTCCCAAGCAGTCCCAAGCTATTTCACTCACCCCTGCATGTTCTGCATGAATCCACACACCCCTGATGTTATCTGTCAAACTTTCATAGCGAATCAAAACAAACATAGTGTAGTAATAGAATTTCAACTAGAATAGGGTACGTTAATCGTTTGCTTGGGACCAATAGGCTACTAAAGTGGTGAGCCAATTTAAAATCGTTAGTTTCGTATTGATTGTTGGTTGTAGTGTGTAAACGTCAAACGCTAGGGAATGTGCACCACAAATGGCAGTACTACCAACTAAGAAACATTTAAATTGACCGTTAAAAACGATTTTGATGAACGTTTTAAGAGTGTTATGTCTGCTTTTCTGTGATCATACCTTCACTATCGCAACTTCGGGTAATCTGCGAAAGTACTTGCAGCGGTGCCGGTGGTGTAGTGGTAAGCGTGATTACTTCTCACCCCAGCAGGCCTGGGTTCAATCCCAGTCGGCGCCGCCGGGATGTTCTGAGGCATAACACCTCTGATCACGCCTTCCTTCGGAAGGGAAGTAAAGCCGTTGGTCTCCGGTTCATGAGTTGATGGGTCGAAAGGTAGGGTCCAGGTGTGGGAGCTGCCTCCCTGGCGTCGGTAGCATTGGTGCTCAGCACGGAAAACAAGATCGACGGAAAACAAATCAAAGGAAAAAAAAAAAAGAAAGTACTTGTATTTTTCTCAGGCACTTTTGATCTAACTGCAATTACTCTCTCATACTCGAAATGTGCCACGACCAAATTGGCACAACAACGCCCTATACGCTCTCTGACCAAAGTGCAGGGATAACAGATCTTGATATGATTATATCAAAATTATTACAAAATTAGATATAATCTACCGCATTCAAAAATATACATATATCCCAACAAACAATTCAGAGTCACAAATAAGCATGT